TTATTTGTAACTCAGATCAGAGGGGAAAATACTTATACTATATCTATGCTAATAAAAGATTAAGTGCTTTTAAAAAGTGAATTCAATTCTGCAGGATTAAGGTCTAGAAGACTACCAGGACTACGTTAGAAGACTGGTGATTAACCAAATTCTAATACACATATGAAGCTTTAAAGAGTTCAAAAGAAAATACTCGAGGCTTGGTTCAACCTTACCTTCAAATAGAACTTGGGTAACTACACATCAGTCATTCTCCCTGAATGTGCCTCTCCTTGTAGAAAGCCCAGTTCTAACCTAGAAGTAATTTCTCAGTGGACACCATGACATAGTGGGTCAGCTCTGTCTCAGTGCAGAAATAACGGTATCTAGAAACAAGAGGAGGATGGAGAAATAGCCCTTTAGCCAAAAGAAATGTCTTTCTGAAGTGAAATATTCTGCAAGTGATTTTCACTGAAGTTTATAGAGCACATCTCTAAATATTGGCCATTATACAGAAAGCAGGCTCATCTCATTTATTCTTCTGTGATATAGCATCTTAATTTTGCATGGTCTGTGGGTTTTTTCCTTTTTTTTCAATGAATACTGAAACAATAAAGAATTTGAAAAGCAAAGCCATTTTGTGGACTGTAGCTTCAGGTTTAAGAAATCATGGCTCTCCTTGTTTTACTGGATTTCGATGAGCGCCAACGTTCTAATTACGGTCCAGCGTCTCTCCTTCTGCCAGCAGTGCCAATCATCCCCCATTATGAATGGACGTGGAGTAAGTGCCTGGTTAGGGCTGCGGCAGTCACCACTGTCATTTTCCGCTCCCACTCGTCGTCATTTTCCGCTCCCGCTCGTCCACGTCAGCGCTCCAGTCTCCATGGGCAAGAGCAGCTGTACTTCCTGTACTCATTAACCCAGCTGCCCTTGACATTTGTTCCCTTTTTTTAAAACTAATGTCACAAATTCTCTTCTAAAGGAAACAGTTTTGGCTTGTGATTTTTTTTTTTTTTGTATTGATTATTTCAGCTGTTTCTTTATGTAGGAGCTACACTTGCCGCTGAAAGAATCCTCTTCCATTTCACACACTGGGCTTCAAAATTTCAAATAGAAGCCCTACACATTATTATGATCTGATGTGATAGAATGGCCAATGGGAGGGACCAAGCTGAATGTAGATCCACAACTTCACTCTTTGATCTGGAAGTCTGGCTTTAGAAGTAGTAGAAGTTACTTTCTCATATTTCTAATCGCCTAAATTAAAAAAAAAAACTGAAGTTACTGTTATGTAGGGTATTTTTATATGGTGATTTTCATTTCCGAGATGCTGAGTTTTAATGGGTTCATACTCGGCTCTGCCTCCCCTTGAGCTCTGCAAATGTCTGTTGGTTTTTTTTTTAACTTTTTAATCTTATATTGGAGTATAGCCAATAAACAATGTTGTGATAGTTTCAGGTGGACAGCAAATGGACTTGGCCATACATATACATGTATCCATTCTCTTCCAAACTCCCCTGCCATGCAGGCTGCCACATACATTGAGCAGATACAATGTGCTATACAATTAGTCCTTGTTGGTTATCCGTTTTAAATGTAGCAGCAAGTGTCCATCTCAAACTCCCTAACAATCCCTTCCCTCCATCTCTCCCCCTTGCTGATGTATGATCTTGTTTCCATTAATTCCACAGCATCTTTATCTTTCCCTGCATGCAGCAGGGTCCCAGTGTCTAGTATCTTCCATTTGAAATGAAAGAAATGGGGACAAGATATTTGCATCTTTACATTCTGGTAGAGCAAAGCACTAGCCTCTCCCACATCAATCCCCAAAATACCCTCCCACAGCCCATTCTTTATCCTCCACACTCTTTTTTTTCCCCAAAAAGATACAATAATACTCTATTGATTCTAGACTGGACTCTCCCACCCCCATACTTCAGCCTCTCTGAAATAAGAAGGGGTTTTCAATCAATGGCATGTCATGATTGGCAGCATTTTTTCTCAATGTACATAAAATAAGGACTTTTTTTTTAACGATGATTTCTTAGATTCTATGAAATGCAGTAAAAAACTGCTAGCATTTGTTGAAGGCTTACTAAGTTGTAATTATAGTAAGTGCTTCCCCAACCCTCATTTTTACTCTTCATAAGAACCATATGAATAGAAAGGGCCCATTCTTAGCCCAGTTCGATCCATAGGTCAGGAAGGTCCCCTGGAGGAAGAAATGGCAACCCACTCCAATATTCTTGCCTGGGAAATCCCATGGACAGATCCCATGGGCTACAGTCCATAGGGTTGAAAAGAGTCAGACACCACTGAAGCAACTTAGCATACAAGCATGCAAAGCCAGGCTTTGGACACAGGTGTGTTTGATCTGTTTCTCCACCCACACCTCCTCCACCCAAGCCTGCCCATAGAAGAGGAGCCTTAGATCTGATGTTCACTGTTCTTACTTTCAGGGAGTATTGCAAAGATAAAGTTATTTGTAATTGTAGACACAGCATTAATCAGACACAGCATTTTAATTTATTCAATAATCACTAATAGACTTTTTCTGGATATGACAGGGGTACAAAATTTACTAAACAGAGTCCCTGCCTTTAAGGGCTCACAGTCTAAAGGGGGAGGCAGGCATCCCAGACAATAATTACAACAATGGGCAAAGTCTTAGAGCACCTCAAGCAGGAGGTGCCTCAGGTATGAGGCTGAATTCTGTCTGGAAGCTGAGGAGAGGCTTTCTGGAAGAATGGCCTGAAACTGAGGTTTGTTTCTTTTTTGGTCACACTGCGCAGCATGTGTGATCTTAGTTCGCCCACCAGGGATTGAACCGGTATCCCCTGCATTAGCAGTGTGGAGACTTAACCACTGGACCACCAGGGAAGTCCTGAAGCTGAGTTTTGAATCTGAAGAATGTGCTTCAGGGCTTTGTGCCCAGGGCCCAGTGATGAAGAAAGTAGTGAATGAATCAAGCCACCAGTGAAAGAAGGAATCAGCTAAGGCTAGAGGGTTTCCCAGGCGAAGAGCCCATCTGCCAATGCAGGAGATGGAAGAGACATAGGTTCGATCCCTAGGTCAGGAAGATCCCCTGAAGGAGGGCATGAAAACCCCCCTCCAGTATTCTTGTCCGGAGAATCCCACAGACAGAGAAGCCTGGAGGGCTATAATCTGTAGGGTCACAAAGGGTCTGACACGACTGAAGCGACTTAGCACGCAAGGCTGGAGAGAGACTAGGCCCGTAACTTGGAGACACTGCAGGTAAGGAGCAATCAAGAAAACACAAACCTTTGAGAGAGCCTGAGAGGGAAGCGAAAGAGGTGAAGAGACGCTAGAGGTCACGGAAACCAAGCAAAAGGGCTTCAAAGGGGAAGTGGTCAACGGTGTCAGAAGTGGCGAGAGAAAGCAAAGACTGAAAAAAAAAAATTTCCTCAAATGTATCTCTGAGGAACTCTTTGGTGTCCTCCTAAGAAGAGCAAAAGATGTAACTGTAATGGGGGTGGGGCGGGGCCCAGCTGTTAGCCGTCCAGCTCAGTCATTGGTCAGCATCAGCAGTGGGCCCCTCCCCCAGGTTAGTGACCGTTAGACGCGACCGTTAGCAGTCCTGCTCAGCCATTGGTCAACATCTCAGTAGGCCCTTCCCTCTGCCCTTCCTCTGTGTAAAAGGAGCCTGAGTTAGGCTGAGGGGAGATGGTTTTTTTAGACACTAGTCTGCCATCTGCTCCATCTGTTCCCTTTCCGATTAAAGTCGAATTCCTTTCCCCCAACAACCGAGCCTCCTGATGTATTGGCCTGTCCTGCAGTTAGCAGAGTGAGCTTGGGCTAGGTAACATTACATTGCCTCACTTCCATTTATAGACCTAGGGCCTTGAAGGGTCTGGTGGGAGCCCACAGGACGGCAGGTGCTGGACCCCTCCCAGCAGGAGGGAAGAGACACTGACCACCCTCTCACCCCCAACCCCACTGCAACGCCCCTCTCCACCCGACGCCAGCATGCAGGACACCCACAGTGGAAAAGTGCAGGAAAGGGTGTGGGTCCAGGGACACTGCCCCCCAGCCCCTCTCACTGGAAGCCTGCTAGGGCCTTCCCGAGTCTGCTGTGTGCCGGGCTCCCAGAGCAAGGCCGCCGTCCCCACTAAAGACCCTGACCACAGGGACTGATGGGAGTGATCAGATCCCCAGTTGCTAGGACCCAGGTGAGGCCCACAACCCAGAGACCTCAGGTTGGGGGTGGAGTGGGCAAACGTTCACAGCTTCCATCATGGCCCCGCAGTGGCTATAACTAGTAACATAAGTCTTTTCTTGAGACACAAGTGACTTTTTATGACCCACAACAGACATTACAAGCTATAGGACCTGCCCAAGTGCATTCCCACTAGCAGAAAGAGAAGGAGCCCACAGAGTGGGTTTGAAGGGACAGTGACACAAAATTAAGTTGCTTCATGATTCCACCCTATCAAAGTCAGTTCATTGAATTAAAGGTTTACAAGTGAAAATGGAGAAAAAATCCATTACAGGCAGACCTCAGAGAGATTGCAGGGTTAGGCTCCAGACTATAGCAATACGCAGAACATGGTAATTAAGAGTCCCATGAATTTTTTGCTTTCCCAGTGCATATAAAAGTTATGTTTTCACCATAATGTAGCCTACTACGTGTGCAATAGCATTATGTCTAAAAAATGTACATACTTTAGGTAGAAAATACTGTTTTGCTAAAAAGTGCTAAGCATCATCTGAACCTTCTGTGAGTCATAGGATAACATTAGAGATCACTGATCGTAGATCACCTAAACAAATATAATAATTTTTTTTAAAAGCTTGAAATATTGCCAGAATTGACAAAATGTGACACAGAGGCAGGGAGCAAGCAAATGCTGTTGGGAAAATGGCCCCAACAGACTTGCTCAACACAGAGTTGTGTCAAACTTTCAAGTCGTAAAAAGCATAGTATCTGCGAAGCTCAATAAAACAAGGTGAGCCTGTACAAGCAGCACGGTTGCTGAGGGCCAGCAATCGCTCACACAGATATGACTGCCCTGGTTCCAGACAACATGGCAAGACTCAGAATCCACAGGGACAGACATCACAGGTATGATTCCCAACCCTCACTGACCTAAAAGTGTGAAGAAAGTAACCATGTACAAAAATACAATGACACACTTCAAGTACTGGAAAGGTAGAGGTGTGGGCTCAGTGTCTGACTCTATGCAGCCCTATGAACTATAACCCCTCAGGCTCCTCTGTCCATGGGATTCTCCAGGCAAGAACACTGGTGTGGGTTGTCATTTCCTACTTCAGGGGGTCTTCCTGACCCATAGACTGAACTTGCATCTCTTGTGTCTCCTGCATTGGCAGGCAGATGTTTTATCACTGAGCCACCAGTTAAGTACTGTAAAGGGGTCCACCAAATGTGAGAGAGAGAGAGAAAAGGATGGAAGGAGAGGAGGCAAGACATCTCTTGAGAAAATTACCTGTAAGTTGAGAAGTATTGTACTTACAGGCTGAGTACCACTAGGGCCAAGAGCAAAGGGGGCATTGGTTAGAGCAGCCCACCCAGGATAAATGTGCCATTGGATGGGGAGGCCAGCAGGCTGGGGTCTTTAGGACATTGATGCCAGGCCTTGGGCTGCCAGGTCCACCCATTTTCCTTGGTACCAATGTATCTCCAAGGTATTTCTGTCCCTGCCATCTTCATGGAGAAGTGTGGCCTGAAGGTGTATAGTGGGCAGGTTCCAGGTTAGGAAGCTTCATCCATTTTCCGTCTTGTTTTGTCCGCAAGTCTTCCTCCTTTGAAGATGCCAGTGAAAGTGATATTTCTTGGGACACTCTCAGCAATATTGTTAAATCTTACAGGTAAGGTGCCTGCTTACATGTGCTTATTTTCTAGCACATTTAATTGGTATTATTTTATTATTTCATTCCTCCTCCCTGCATTTATTGAGCACTGTTAGATTGGACCTTGTGCTTAGTTGCTCAGTCATGTCCAACTCTTTGCAACCCCATGGACTGTGGCCCGCCAGGCTCCTCTGTCCATGGAATTCTCTAGGCAAGAATACTGGGATGGGTTACATTTGCTTCTCTAGGGAACCTTCCTGAACCAGAGATCGAACCCAAGTTCATCCTGCAAATTTTTGGTAACAAATCTTCAGTGAAATAAGTTTAGAAACAGAGTAAACATTTAGAACTTTTATGGAAGTTTGACAGAATAGTTTTTGTGTATTGAATCTAAAAAGAGAGAGAGATTTAAACTTGTGTTTACACAGAGGAAACCAGATCTGAAAGAGACACGTGCACCCCAATGTTCATCGCAGCACTGTTTATAATAGGCAGGACATGGAAGCAACCTAGATGCCCATCAGCAGACGAATGGATGAGGAAGCTGTGGTACATATACACCATGGAATATTACTCAGCCATTAAGAAGAATTCATTTGAATCAGTTCTAATGAGATGGATGAAACTGGAGCCCATTATACAGAGCGAAGTAAGCCAGAAAGATAAAGAACATTACAGTATACTAACACACATATATGGAATTTAGAAAGATGGTAACGATAACCCTATATGCAAAACAGAAAAAGAGACTCCGATGTATAGAACAGACTTGTGGACTCTGTGGGAGAAAGCGAGGGTGGGATGTTTCAAGAGAACAGCATCGAAACATGTATATTATCTAGGGTGAAACAGATCACCAGCCCAGGTTGGATGCATGAGGGCTGGTGCACTGGGAAGACCCAGAGGGATCGGGTGGAGAGGGAGGTGGGAGGGGGGACCGGGAATGGGGAATACATGTAAATCCATGGCTAATTCATTTCAATGTATGACAAAAACCAAACAAAATAAATAAATAAATAAAAAATAAACTTGTGTTTAGTAGTCTTTGGGCTTTTTTAAAAATTAAATTTTCCTAGTAGTTTATTATTATTTTCCAAAACATTGTTCTGTGATGGATTAAAAAAAAAATGGTCTTTCCCCACAGGTGCTCTGACATGCTTTGTTTTGAGCCACTAGTTCAGTTCAGTTGCTCAGTTGTGTCCAACTCTTTGCGACCCATTGACTGCTGCACTCCAGGCTTCCCTGTCCATTACCAACTCGCAGACCTTGCTCAAACTCATGTCCATCAAGTTGGTGATGCCATCCAACCATCTCATCCTCTGTTGTCCCCTTCTCCTCCCGCCTTCAATCTTTCCCAGCATCAGGGTCTTTTCCAACGAGTCAGTTTTTCACATCAGACAGCCAAAGCATTGGAGCTTCAGCTTCAGCGTCAGTCCTTCCAATGAATATTCAGGACTGATTTCCTTTAGGGTGGACTGGTTGGATCTCCTTGCAATCCAAGGGACTCTCAAGAGTCTTCTCCAACACTACAGTTCAAAAGCATCAATTCTTTTTGGTGCTCAGCTTTCTTTATGGTCCAACTCTCACATCCATACATGACTACTAGTAAAACCATAGCTTTGACTAGATGGACCTTTGTCAACAAAGTAATGTCTTTGCTTTTTAATATGCTGTCTAGGTTTGTAATAGCTTTTCCTCCAAGCACCAAGCGTCTTTTAATTTCATGGCTGCGGTCACCATCTGCAGTGATTTTGAAGCCCAAGAAAATAAGTGGGCCTCAAAGGCACTTCACTCAAAAGCACAGGCAGTTAAACCTGATAGTTCTCAAAAGGATCCAGAAACACTCTTGACAAGTCAGAAGGGAGCTTGGACTTACCTTGTAGACTTTCTCATTCAAAATAGAGGTTTTGGCCAGGTTCTTAGCAGCTTTCCAGATTTCTGCCAGCAGTAAACACAGATAAGGAAGCTTTGAAAAAGCATAACACACTCCTCTTGAAAGTCCTATTTATCCAGAGCAGACACTTGACTTTACAAGAAGTCCACTAAAAGAGCTGGTCAGAAGGAGGCGCAGAAGGATTGGGTGGTATCACTGATGCCCTTGGACAGCAAGGAGAGCAAGCCAATCCATCCTAAAGAAAATCAACCCTGAGTATTCATTGGAAGGACTGCTGCTGAAGCTGAAGCTCCAATACTTCGGCCATCTGTTTCGAAGAGCTGACTCATTGGAAAAGACCCTGATGCTGGGAAAGATTGGAGGCAAGAGGACACGGGGGCAGCAGAGAATGAGATGTTTAGATAGCATCACTGACTCAATGGACATGAGATTGCACACACTGCGGGAGATAATGAAGGACAGGAAAGCCTGGCATGTTGCAATTCATGGGGTTGCAAAGAGTCAGACACAGCAACTGAACAACAATGAGCAACTGATGTCTTCAAACCCAAGTGTCATGTCTGCTTTTTCTGACTCTAAGGAAAATAGAAGAGTCCTGAGCTGATATAGTTACAAAACCTCTGGCATAAATCCAAAGATGGCCACTGTAATATCATTATGGTTAAACAATATTATGGCTAGGAAATCAGCTCTTCAAGTTCACCACATTTACCTGTGTGGTTCCTCCTAGATTGCTAAGAAAGGTGAAACCTGCTATTGGATGGATTTCGCCAGGGAAATGCCACAAAGTCCCCAACTGGGATACTTCATTGCCAGCGAGTTTGAGCCAGCCTTCAGCACTCATGGGTAATTGAAATTAACATGTCCTTAGTGGACATAACCTTTATTTGTATTGTTAGCTGTTCTCATATGTCTTTCGTTGGTATCTTCCATTAGAGTGAATTAGTTGGATTTTTGCAGGCAGAAAAAAATATCTTCCCATATCTTTTGTAATTTTCCCACATGCCTATTACATTCTGTACCCAGAGGGTTCTGAGTAAATGTTGACTAACCCGTTAACAAAATGATGTAAATCGAACAGCAGGCTCCCTTTTTTCACTTTCAAAGTGCATTTATTTTCCTGCTGGTATATTATTGTATTCACGGCTCCATGAATTAAATTTAAAATTTTGGAAATAAAAGAAAAAATAGTACAGAATACTTGGCAAATATATGTCAAGACCTAATTAGCTCAGAGAAAATCTAAGCCATCTGACCATTGGAGGAGGCCCCCACCAATGAGATTTCTTGAAGGGAAATTAAAAACTGAAACACTGATTTTTTACATTCCATTTTCTCATCTCTTCTTTTCCAGAAAGGCCCCGTGTGTTCTTTCTTGTCCACAACATCAGTGAGTAGCGACCAAGCTATGAGGGGGCCTGGAGGGAGTGAGGGTGGCAGGGTCCAGAGAGGACAGCCCAGTTGATGGGGGCGGGGGAGTGGGGACCACAGGCCACAGTGGTAGACCATGGAGCTCCAAGCTGTGGAGAATCAGAAGCCCTGAGGGCACAGAAACTTCGTTCCATTTTCCCTCTCCATCCCCTTGTCTCCTTCTCCCCTGCATTTGCCCACCACACCCCATCTTTGCTTAGCCAAACACACTTCTCTTCTGATAGACAGACAAGGGAACTTGTTTGGCTAGGGTGTGGGGAGTGGCCCGCATTGTGTTTTCAATAGAAGGTTTCATTTTCACTTGTCACCCCATTGCTCTGTAATCATCCTGCAAACCTAGCAAGTGGAACCACAGTTTTATCAAGAAAGACCCCACACTCTTCAAACACAGCAAGTCTCAACCTCCCCAAGGAAGAATGCATGGACACTGACCAAACCCTTTGAGAACCGCAAATCATGTTTTAGACTCTTGTTACAGCTTGTTCCAGAAAAGGCATATGTGGTGTCGCCACTGAATGTCATCTGGTAATAATACGGTTCATGTAGTAAGTGAGCACCATCCATGAGAGAGAAGCTAAAAAGAAGAAAGGGAGGCATGAAAAACAGGATCAAATAAGCACAGGCCCACAACTCTGGAATCTTGCCCTTTTCCAAAGACCTCGTGAAAACAGAATTAGGCAACAGGAGGCGGGCAGAGAAAAGAAATGGACTTTGCCTGTTTCTTCCTATTTCCTTTATTTGGTTTTCCAAGAAATACATTCTGTAGCCTCATTTTGGTATGTTTGCTGTTGGCAGAAGTTTGTAGGCTATTTCATGTGCAGGACTTCATTCAACAATACATTTTGAGGTCAAAACTTCATTATCTGTGGTGAAATCACATAGGCTATTTTGATTATTTTCTAGGATATCGGGGGGAAAAAAGACTATTTTTTAAAAAAATAAGAAACAGGAAGGGTAGAAGGAACAGAGGAAAAAAAGGAGCTAGAAAAATGTTAAGTCAAATCTGAAGGGGAACAAACTATTTTTCCTGATAACGTGAGGCCCAGTTACTTGTGTATGTCGTTAAAGGGGGTGTGTGTGTGGTGGGTTGGGGGGGGGGTGCAGAGGGGCCAGGAGACGCAGGGAGTGCTTCCCTACATCTTCCATTAACTGCATCCACTCACTTCCTAGGACCTTCCTGTGCTGTGCTGTGCTGTCCTGCGCTTAGCGGCTCAGTCGTGTCCGACTCTTTGTGACCCCGCAGAATGTAGCCTGCCAAGCTCCTCATGAGCTATGGGATCATTGGCAATGAGAAGTGGAGAAAAGCAGTCCAACCAGACAACTAGCAGAAGTTTAGATCACGCCCAGCATAGAAACAAATACCCTGCTCCTTTCTTGGTGCCCATGCACCTTGAGAACTCAGGCTCCCCTCTCATCAGAGTTGGGGGTTTGGAAGCAGATCCAGAATGGAAGGGACAGTACAAGATTTGAGAACACGTTTTGCACTTACTTCTAAATGGTAAGAGGAAATGTGGCCGCAGGCTTTGTGGGGAGAGGGAGCCTTACTGGTTTGGGGTTTTGGCTTTTCTTCAAGATCTTGTTTGGCTTCCCTGGCTAGGTGCTAGGTCCTTACGGGTGGTCACAGAGAGGGGGAAGAATGGCGAGTGAAAACAGAACCCAATTCACGACCCGATCCCAAAAAAAGATACAGGCAACAAAGCTCTTACACATGTGCGCGCATGCACACACACACACACACACACACACACACACACACACCCCTAGGACACTATAATCCTCTCAGGCAAACTAGCCCCTAGCTAGTCTTGAAAGGCCAGCACCCCTTTAAGACTACAAAGGTGTAGTCCTGTAGTCCGACTCTTTGAGACCCCACTGACTGTAACCCACCAGGCTCCTCTGTCCATGGAATCTTCCAGGTAAGAAGTGGAGTGCATTGCCATTTCTCACTCCAGAGGATCTTCCCCAACCAGGGATCGAACTTGCATCTTTTGCATCTTCTGCACTGACACAAGGATTCTTTACCACTGCACCACCTGGAAACTTAAGACTACACTGCCTCCTTGTCAAACCCTAAGGAAGGTAGAAGAAGCCAGAACCCCTCTGGTGCCCTCTGTGCCCAGAGGTTATTTAATATCTAGTTTTGATCCACTTGAGCTTTCATTCAGGTTATGTATTTCCATCTGCTCATTCTTTCTTTCAACCATGATTAACATATTGTGGGCTTTTTCAGGTCAGTATAGATAAAACTACCGTATTTTTGTTATTAGATGCTTCAGTTCAGTTCAGCAGTCGTTCAGTTGTGTCCAACTCTTTGTGACAGCACACCAGGCTTCCCTGTCCATCACCAAGTCCTGGAGCGTACTCAAACTCATGTCCGTCGAGTCGGTGATGCCATTCAACCATCTCGTCCTCTGTCGTCCCCTTCTCCCCCCACCTTCAATTCTTCCCAGCACCAGTCTTTTCAAATGAGTCAGTTCTTCACATCAGGTGGCCAAAGTATTGAAGTTTCAGCTTCAGCATCAGTTATTCCAATGAATATTCAGGACTGATTTCCTTTAGGATGGACTGGTTGGATTTTCTTGCTATCTAAGGGACTCTCAAGAGTCTTCTCCAACACCACAGTTCAAAAGCATCAATTCTTCAGTGCTCAGCTTTCTTTATAGTCCAACCGTCACATCCATACTTGACTACCAGAAAAACTATAGCTTTAACTAGGTGGACCTTTGTTGGCAAAGTGATGTCTATGCTTTTTCATATGCCATCTAGGTTGGTCATAGCTTTTCTTCCTAGGAGCAAGTGTCTTTTAATTTCATGGCTGAAATCACCATCTGCAGTGATTTTGGAGCCCAAAAAATAAAGTCTGTCATTGTTTCCACTGTTTCCCCATCTATTTAGCAAGAAGTGATGGGACTGGATGCTATGATCTTAGTTTTCTGAATGTTGAGCTTTAAGCCAACTTTTTCACTCTCCTCTTTCACTTTCATCAAGAGGCTCTTTAGTTCTTCTTTGCTTTCTGCCATAAGGGTGGTGTCATCTGCATATCTGAGGTTATTGATATTTCTCCCAGCCATCTTTTTTTTTTTTCCCATTTATTTTTATTAGTTGGAGGCTAATTACTTTACATCATTGCAGTGGTTTTTGTCATACACTGAAATGAATTAGCCATGGATTTACATGTATTCCCCATCCCGATCCCCCCTCCCACCTCCCTCTCCACCCGATCCCTCTGGGTCTTCCCAGTGCACCAGGCCCGAGCACTTGTCTCATGCACCCAACCTGGGCTGGTGATCTGTTTCACCCTAGATAATATACATATTTCGATGCTGTTCTCTTGAAACATCCCACCCTCGCCTTCTCCCAGAGTCCGCAAGTCTGTTCTATATATAGGAGTCTCTTTTTCTGTTTTGCACATAGGGTTATCGTTACCATCTTTCTAAATTCCATATATATGTGTTAGTATATTGTAATGGTCTTTATCTTTCTGGCTTACTTCGCTCTGTATAATGGGCTCCAGTTTCATCCATCTCGTTAGAACTGATTCAAATGAATTCTTTTTAATGGCTGAGTAATATTCCATGGTGTATATGTACCACAGCTTCCTCATCCATTCATCTGCTGATGTCTCCCAGCCATCTTGATTGCAGCTTGTGCTTCATCCAGCCTGGCATTTCTCATGATGTACTCTGCATATAAGTTAAATAAGCAAAAAGATACACTATGGTTGTGATAAAAAAAAAATAAATAAATTAAAAAAAAATTAAAAAAAAAAAAAGTTAAATAAGCAGGGTGACAATATACAGCCTTGACGTATTCCTTTCTTAATTTGGGATCAGTCTGTTCCATGTCCAGTTCTAACTGTTACTTCCTGACCTGCGTACAGTTTTCTCACGAAGCAGGTCAGGTGGTCTGGTATTCCCATCTCTCTCAGAATTTTCTATAGTTTGTTGTGATCTGCACAGTCAAAGGTTTTGGCATAGTCAATAAAGAAGAAGTAGATGTTTTTCTGGAATTAGATGCTTAGTGTTCCATTAATAAATTTCTCCCAAAATGATCATTTAAACAATTTCTACTATCTGTATTCCTGCAAATAATACTGCAGTGCAAGTCTGTGAAGGCCTGCCTGTATGCATGTATATATGTATATATATTCATGCATCTTCATGTATTTGTAGAATAGTTTAAAAAATGGGATTGTTAGTTCATATAATACACAATTATCCTTCCCATAGGCTAAGCTATTTTTATAACCATCAGTAGCATGTCCTTTTCCCTCTCACCTACATCAGTTATATGCATTTTTTAAAATATTTCTCCATCTGGTAAGTGAAAAACTTAGACTGAAATAGAAAATCTATCTTTGATTTGCGTTTCTTCATCTCTTATTAGTTTAACTAATATATGTTAATAAGTCCTTTATCATTCTTCTTGGTGATTTGCCTGTTTATATCTTATTTTATTAGCTCTTTCTCACTTTCTTCTTGATTAGTAGAAGCTCATTATATTTTGAGGTTATTCATCCTTGTCTATAACATTTTTTTATGTAATAAAGTTTTATTAAAGTATAAAGGAGATAGAGAAAGCTTCTGACATAAGCATCAGAAGGGGGCAAAAGAGTACCGCCTTGCTAGTATTAGCAATGGAGTTATATACTCTCCAATTAATCTAAAGAATGTCTGGAGGCTGCAAAGACCTCACCAGACCCACTCCGGTAATTTACATTTTAAGATAACAGAGTTGGCCAGAAGGTTTAATCCAAAGATTGTCCTCAGGCAGGATACAACCTTGTAAAGACCAGACCTACTCCCATAATTTACATTTTAAGATAACAGAATTAGCCAGAGGGTTTAATCCAAAGACTGTCCTCAGGCAGGATACATTATTGTTATATAATCCTAAGGAATGTAGAGGGAAAAAAAGGTAAAAAAGTTTGTCCTTTCTTCCTCCTTGAATATCCCATAT